ACTCACTCACACGCGCACACACACACCAACTGACAGGGCTTATAAAAGATTAGCTCTAGTGAAGAGATAAAGATCCTGGTGTTAGTACAGTCACTCCACCACAGAAGAAGAAAGGAGCAATCCTAGGGGAAGAGGTAAGGGAGGGGAGGCGAGTGAATGAGAGGAGGACAGGGAGGAGAGTGGTTCCCGTCCTGCCTGTGGAAAAAACTGTAAACACCACTGCTACTCTGTAAGTCTGTAGACAAGACGCAAACTCTTTGTGGTCATCAACATCATCGTCAGATCGGTATGGAAACACACAGGACTAGGCAGCTTGTAGCACTGAGAGAAAGAGACAGGAGGAAAGGAGTGTGTTAAGGTAGGAGGAGGCCAGGCTGGGACTAGGACCTGGCTACCAGTTGGTTATAAAAGGGATAAATGGGATAAGACATCTCCTTGTTCATTTTGAAGCTTCTTAAGGAGCCAAAGTGGAAGAGAGAGGAAGAGAGAGGAGGGGGGGGGGGTAACTCTGGGGCAAGTCGTCCCCCAGTCACTCCCTCACAAAAGGAAGGGGTTGGTGGTTCCGGTGGGCTGTGTCCCAGCCTGGGGTGGCATGCTCATCAGGGGCTGGGGCATGGACATGGAGGCCGGGATCCCCACGTTCGTCCCCACACCCCCGACAGCGCCGACCCCCATTCCGGGCATCACGCGGCCCATGGGGGCCATCCCTGCCAGGGGGACCATGGTGATGGGCTGAGCGGGCACGGAGGCGAGGGCCATGGGCTCGGGCATGCCGCCGAAGCCGGCGGGCATGGGGCTGACTCGCATCTGGTTGAGGGTGGGGGGGGCTGGCTGGCTCACTTGGAAGGGGTTGGCGTGGGCTGCTGGAGCTGGAACAGTGACGCCTGAATAAAGACGGTAAGGGGGCAAAGGGAGAAAGCACATGTTACTGATCTCACAGTACCAGTAGAGCATCATGAACAGCCAATATAATGACTAGAATTAAATGTTAGTAATAGTTTTGTTTCAACACTATACAGCTACTGCTATAGAAATGATTCATGTCTGCTCTCAGAGATTATAGCTAGCATAGACAGCACATGGTCAGTGATTCAACATTAAACTGTGCAGATGGGTGTGTCTGCCTGTCTGTGTTCAGGCATGCACAGGCATGTCCATGTCTTTTGGCTTACTCACTACACTGTTATCTAATCAGTGTGAATTAACCAGTGTGTGTACCCGCTTAAAAAAAGCCCGTCTGTACATTAATACAAAAACTCATTTCGTGAACCAACATCTTTAAAGTGGTAGAATAATTCACACGGCCTCTTTGTCTCACCGCCTGTTGAAGCTAAGAATGGGTTGACGATCGGCGCAGGCTGGGCTGGTTTGGTCACCAGAGAGTCCAGGTTGACCAGGGCAGCATTTGGACCCAGGAAGGACTCTGGAGTCTTTCTAGTTGGGTTTGAGGAAGTAGACATGGAGGTGGGCAGGGGGTCGAAGAGGTCCAGGCTGCTGCTGCTAGCGAGACTGGCTTGGGAGGGGATAGAGGATGCTACGCCCATATCACCTGGGGAACAAAAAGGAGTAGTATTTCATTGATGAAAAGCTGTTACAGAACTTCTGATTGAGGGAACAAAAACATAATAAAACACTGCAACATCATTATTTCTACATACAATATTTCTGATCTATTCTTGAACTACAGTGTAATGAGGTACAGCTAACCTCTAACCTGAGTCTGACATGGCTATAGTGTAGTATGCAAAAGGTTTGTTGACATTTGTGACACTGAACAGCTATGTACACTCACATTTTGCATTACAAAAAGGTCTAATAAATATTCAAAAATGCATATTTGCCTATTCTTGCCTTGTGTAAACGTCTGAGTTTCATTCACATTTACCAGGAAATCAAATTTAGGCAGTGCAATAAAATGATGAAGATGCTTTTATGAGAGGACATTGGAGGCAGACAGCCTGGCTAACCCAGACAGCAATGGAGACCTTCATTAATGCACTCACACACGGACATGCGCAAAGCCAGCATGCCAGCTGCCACACACACAAACACACACACACAAGAAAATGTCAAAGACGGAAACTGTCTTCTCAGAACAGAAACTGAGATGTAGCAGAGCCAAAAAAAGGCCCATGATAAGATCAGACACGCCTAGTGCGTATTAACGCCCCATAAATCCTGTAGGTTTGGCCAGAGCTGATTCAAATACTAACATTTCCACAACTCATCTTGCAGTGTGTCCGTGTTTGTGTCCTCTACACACCAGATGGCGATAAGGTGATTTATAGGGACTCTTTTTTTTTTTTTCTTCCCCTTTCTGGGAAAAGTAAGTTTGTGTGCCTGTGTTTGTGTTCCTTCTCACCTTGTCCTTGACTGTATCAGGAGTGTTTGTGTTGAGCTGGAGCAAAAGTCAGACACCAATGTCACCCTCCCACACCCAGAGATTGCCAAACCACATGGGAAAAACACTCAAGACCTGTGTCAAACTGTTCATTCGAAACCCTCACACACACACCAACCCGAATGGAGTTGTGCATGGGTTTAATTCAAACTGGTTGAAGCACCAGACAAGAAGTATCAAAGCAGTTCTAAAGAGGGATTTGATGAACCGGGTGGCCCAGGTCTAATAATGTATTTACCGATAAACACATAAAAGCATCAGATTACACCACACTGATATGAGACCAGACCAGAGCAAACAGCTATTTTCCACCATTTGATCTGATTGCTGCAGCATTTAATTGCAACTGCAGTGGAAAATCATCAACTGTTTTGAAAAGCGTGACTCAAGTGGTTCTGACACCGTGTTTGCTCTGGACTGGTGAGATTCACATACAAAAAGACAAGACATGCGTGTGTCTGTGCCCCCGCAGAAACATTGTATCTGCAGACGGGGCATCAATTCAGACGCTGAGGAAAAAAAGACACAGACTCCGTGTCAATAGAGAGACGAGAGACATGGGTGAGTACCAGTGGGGACAGAGGAGGAAGAACGCAGGCTGTCAAACTCTGAGAAGTCCTCTTTGGACGTACCGTTGGATGCATTGAAAAGGTCAAAGCTACCTGAAACTGGACAACAAATACAAACACACACACACACACAAAAAATCACAAACACACAGCAGACACACACACGCACAAACAAAGACAAATGGAAACAGACAACACAAGTATGAATGAGTATGGATATTTTGGTAAAACAAACAAAATAAGCAAGCATGCAGAGGTGTATAAGCGTGTTTATGTGTCCCTTTAAGACACAGCTGTTGAGTATTTGAGACACCGGTCAGCCATTAGTTAGATATCTTTCTAATTTCTGAAAATAGATACAATTCAAAGAGTGCAAACTTCCAGAAATATGTCTTAGCAACTGATGCCTCTGGACAAAACTAAGAAAAAAAACAAAGCTATTTTTTTCCTGATGGTCACCTGCGTTGGAAGTTTTGGGGTGGGCAGCTGCAGAGCTCCAGGGGTCAGAGGCGGGAGTGGAGTTTGATGCCCAGGGATCACTGCTCTTCATGGGAGGGACAGAAGGAGGAGCGCCCCATGGGTCCACTGGGGCTGCTGTCTTAGGGGCAGACCCTGGGGAGAGGGGAGAGGTTCAGTGTTGGGGTGGGGGGGTGGACAAAGCATGCGAAATGTAAAGCCAAATTGGACAGTAGGAGGAGGGACAGAGGAAGAGAGCACGAGAGGGGGAAAATAGGTAAAATGATCGCATGTATTGGATCTGACCCATTTCAAAACTACTGCTCATCGGTCCTTCTCCATTTCCACTTCAACATTATTATTATTATTATTACTTATTCCTCTCCCCGCAGCCTCCTTCCCTGCCTCCCCCCCCGTCCCTCTACACTTTACGATATCTTCCTCTAACATCCTCAGTCCACCCCTCCTCTGTGCAGTAATGCTGCTGGGCCAGTGGAGCAGCATTCCTATTTAACAAAGAGTCACAGTGCTGCAGGCTGCAGGTGGAGAGCAGAGACGCACACACACACACACACACACACACACACACACACACCAACTGACTCGAAATAACTACAGCCTGTGTGTAGATATCTCCTGATTTGACCACTTCTAGCAAGAACCGTGTGTGTGTGTGTGTGTGTGTGTGTATACCATAAGGGTGCCATGGGTCCTCTGATACAGCAGCTGCCCCAGCCCCAGCCACAGCCCCAGCCACAGCCCCGGCCCCGGTCCTGGCCCCGGCCCCCC